ATCTCGTCCTGCATGCGTGGCGCAGGGGCCAGTTCAGCGACTGCCAGACGGCCCGATGGTCGGGGCCTCGCGTCGTGGCTTGCCCGACAGCTCCAGGGTCGGGACCTCGCGTCGCTTGCTGGGTCGCTCGGACGTCAGAGCGACTCGATGCCTGCCAGACGGCTCGAGGGCCTGGAGGCAAGCAGTGCGATGCGGACTTTGGCGACGGCGAGTCGCGGCCAATCGGTGACGCCAGCGACGTCTACAACCGCGGGTGCCTGCTCGATCTGATGCATCAGGAGGGGTCTCTACGCGCGCCAGGTCTGCAGCTTGCTGCCGTGCTCCGCGTGCCTCAGGGGCCCCCAGCGCAGCAGGTGCCACCGCGGCGCGGGCAACAACGCGACAGAAATCAACCCCGGGGCAGCGACGCGCCAGAACCGCGGCGCAACGTCGAGCAGGCATTCTGGCAGCGACCGCGCTATATGATCACGACGTTCGGCCAGCTCCCGCGCGGATCGGACTCGACGCGCACCTGAGCGACGCCTTAGTCGCGACGGCGCCACGGGCCATGCGATGTATTAGTGCAGGGACTCCAGGGACGCTCTTGGAGCACTGGTGCGGGGGCAGCAACCTACTCAGCCGCGAGTGGATTCGCGCTGGTGGGAAAGCCAAGCGGTTCGGCCGACTCGACTATGACCTCAGGGCCCATGGCAACGCGCAGGTCGAGATGTCTTTGGAAGAGACTTTTCCTGACGGTGCTAGGGGGCATGCCAAGCCTGTCGTGTTGTGGGGCAGTCTACCTTGCAGTCCCCGGAAAGCCTTCCAGAACTTCATGAAGAAGCGGGCCCAGCTAGCGACAGTCTGCGCCGAGGGCCGCTTCATGGTCAACTTCTTCACTCGGCTGGCGCGCCCTTCGGTGCTGCAAGGTGCTCTGGTTGCCCTCGAATGGCCCGCCAACCGCCACGGCTGAAGGATCGAGGAGCAGGAGGGGGAGCAGCAGGAGGAGGAGGAGGTGCAGACAGGACCCCCCCTCATCATTCGCTCCTCCCCCCTCGTCCTTCGCTCCCTCACCCTGCCCCTTTCGCCCCCCCCACCCGCCGCATTCGCCCCCCGCCCCCCCCTCCCGTCCCCGTCGCGAGCTCTTGGAGGGCAGCGGGGCGCTGGCGGCCAGCCTGCGCCCAGAAGGTAGTCCGCAAAGGTGGCCCAGGGGCACCGCGTCGCGACGAACAAATCCAGCGGCGCGCGCGCGGGCGCTGGTTGACCGTCCACGCCCGGAAGGCAGCCCGGAAGGTGGGCCAGAAGGCACCCAAACAAAAAAAAATCAAACGTCGCCAAACACTTATTTCTCGCTCCGCTGTTCACAAAGGATGATGAATTGTTCGGCGACGTTTTCGATCGCCCCGGAAGGTGACCTTCCAGGACCCCCCTGGCGTCCGGAGGCCCCAGGCGGGCGCGGGCGGCAGCGGGCCGGCCGCGCCGAGTTCCCGTATGTTTGTTTAGCTTTTCCTTGGGAGGTTGCCTCCCGGGGGGAGGAGGTCCAGGGCGGGCCGGGCGGGACGGGGGCGATGGCGATCGAAGGGAGGTCCAGTGGCGGGCCGGGCGGGGGGCAGGGGGAGGAGGGCAGGGGGGGGAATGATGATGATGATGATGATGATGATGATGATGATGATGATGATGATGATGATGATGATGATGATGGTGATGGTGATGGTGATGGTGATGGTGATGATGATGATGATGATGATGATGATGATGATGATGATGGTGATGATGATGATGATGATGATGATGATGATGATGATGATGATGATGATGATGATGATGATGATGATGCTGATGGTGGTGGTGGTGGTGGTGGTGGTGGTGGTGGTGGTGGTGGTGGTGGTGGTGGTGGTGGTGGTGGTGGTGATGATGATGATGATGATGATGATGTTGTTGTTGTTGTTGATGATGATGATGCGGAGGAGGAGGAGGAGGAAAAGGAGGAGGAAGGAGGCAGGAGGAGGAGGAAGAGGAGGAGGAGGAGGAGGAGAAGGAGGAGGAGGAGGATCCCTGAGGACCCCTTGCGATTCTTACGTATTCCTTTGAGTTCCTGGTGGTTCCTTGAGATTCTTTCGGGTCACAAGGGTCCCTGAGGATTCCTGAAGACTCCAGAGGACTCCCAGGGATTATGTGGGATTCCGATGGTTTCTCTGAGATTCCCGAGGGTTCCTTGGGATCCCCAGGAATGGGATGGTTTGGATTTTCATAAATCCCAGAAGATTGTCAGGGATTCCAAAGGATTCCCACGGATTCCAATTGGTTGTTGTATGGGTTGCTACGCAGCCTTTTGGATATATTCGATCGGGGTCTTTGTGGGATTTCGGTGGTTTCTTACAGATTCCTGGCGATTCCTCCGGTCTGCTGAGGATTCCTTGGGATGTTTGGGGGTCCCAAAGGGTTCCTTCGGATTTTTAAGGTCTCTAAGGGGCCCCCTCGGATTCTTCAGTATTCTCCAGCATTCCGAAGTATTCCTGTGGATCCTGAGGATTCCCGTCGTTTCCAAGGGATACCGTTGTATTTCTGCGAACTCCTGTGGATTCCGGGAGGATATTTCGGGATTTCGGAGGATTCTGTCGGATTCCTCCGCGCGGGTTCCTGAGAAGGATTGCCAGAGATTCCTTGGATTCCAGTGGATTCTTGAATATTCCAAGGGGTTCCTCAGGCTTCAGGAACTCTTCAACACGATGCGTGCGGATCCCCGCGGTTTGAATGGTTTCTTGCGTATTACCGGTGTTTTTTTTCCTGATGATTCCGAAGGATTTATTTTTAGATTTCTGCTGATTCCAATGGGCTCTGGAGGATTCCTAAGGATTTCCGATAGCTTCTTCAGGATTTCTACGACCCCGGGTCGATTCCTGAAAATTTCGCGCGCGGCTCCTGAGGATTCCCACGAATTCATTTGGATCCTGACGGATCCCAACAGTTAGTTCAGAACTTCCAATGGTTCCTCATGATTTTCGTTGGATTGCGCGCGATTCTTCTGGGCAGCACCATATTCCTAAGGATTCTTGGGGATACCTGGAGATCCCTAAGGACCCCTTTGCATCCCGACCGGTTCCCAGGGATTTCTTTTGGATGCGTAAAGATACCGGAGAATTCCATAGGATTCATCTGATCCTGATCGGATCGGTTCCTTAGACCCCGAGGGTCGGTCGGGTGACCCCCCCTGAAAAGGTGACTCCCGCATGGTCGGGCGACCCCGCCATGGTCAGGCGACCCCTAATGGTCGGGTGACCCCCTCATGGTTGGGTGACCCCCCCCGTGATTGGGTGACCCCCCACCGGTTGGGCGACCCCACCCCTGGTTGGGTGACATCATCTCATGGTTTGGGTGAACACCCCATAGATGATTGACCCCTCCATGGCTTGGTAACCACCATATGCTTGGCTGACGCCCTCATGGTTAAGGAACCCCTCATGATTCATGGCCTGGTGACCCCCTCATGTGTGGGTGACCCCCCATGTTCCAGTGACGCCCCCCAATGGTAGGACGCCCCCCCCCCATGGTCGGGTGACCCCCCCGAAGTTTGGCTGAGCTCCCCATGGTCGAATGGCCTGCTCCTGGTTGACACTCCAATGTTGAAAACGCCCCGCCCTGCATTCTTGCAGCGGTTGCAGAATTCACACTGATGGCCGCGGCGCCAAGGCGAGAGCACACTTAAATGTGCCAGCGAAGGACCCAACCGTATGCAGCTGTTAGCGCCGCGGTTCTGAGTATCTTTTTGGGTGGAGTTCCCTATGGGGCCACAAAGCGTGCGAGGGATGTGCCGAAATGTGGGGCCGCGAAGCGTACGAGGGGGTGATGAAATGGGCGCGGCGGTGCCATGCGGGCGTTGCGACTGGGGCCGTCGGTGGAGCGCCCTGTGCGGCCACGAAGCGTATGAGTGGTGTGCCGACGCGGGCGCGGCGGTACCATGCGGGCGCTGCCACTGGGGCCGTCGGTGCAGCTCCCTGTGGGACCACGAAACGTGTGAGGGGTGTGCTGAAACGGGTGCGGCGGTGCCATGCGGGCGTTGCCACCGGGGCTTTCTGTAGAGTTCCCTATGGGGGCCGCGAAACGTGTGAGGGGTATGCCTAAATGTGTGACGTACGCAAGGCAGAGGCAGGGACCGGAGGACGGATGAGGAAGGAAAGGGAGGAAGAGAGAAGAAGAGAAGCGGGGCGCTGTTTCTCCAACGCGAGGACCCAACATCACAGGATGGGTGGGGAAATACGGACACGCCATTTGAGTAACAGTTGTATGTTTGTGTTTGAGTGAATGTGCTCGGCGTCAGGCGAGAGCCACTTTCTAACGGCCCGCCCTCTGCCCGTGAGGTCTTGCAAGTGTGTAAAACGAATCTGCGTAGCGCCCACGCGAAAGCCACATGTTCGCAACAGCGCGCCATCCATCCACGCAGCTGTTGCAGCAGCTGAACACGAAGGGTTGCGGTGCCAAGATGAAAGCCCCATTGTGAAAACGGCCCGCCGTTCATCAATGTCACTGTTGCATGGTTTCTGCGCGAATGTGCGCGGTGCGGAGGCGAGAGCCCTATGTTAAAATGGGCCTGCCCTCCATCCTTGCAAATGCTGCTGCATTCGAAGGCGAATGTGCGCAGCGCCGAATCGAAAGCACCATTTGGAAAACGACCTGTGCTCCACCGTAGTGCCTGCTGCGAACTTCAGGCTTCAGGACCGTCAGGACGTCTCAGGTGGAACGCCTGGCCCGCCCTACCAGCACGCCTCGCGGCGTGGCAGGAGGAGTTACTTATGAGTAAGACAAGGTGGAGGCAGGGACACTGGTGGGCTGGTGTGGGGGGGGGAGAACGGGAGGAGGAGGGGTAGGAAAAATGGGGTCGCGCAGGAATGCGGAGAGAGGAGGTGCAGAAAGGAAGGGCGCGAAGGGAGGGGGAGAAGGAAGGAGGGAGAACGGGGGCGGAAGCGAGGGGAGGAAGGATGACAACGGCGAAAACAACAGTGCATTTGTTGCGGGCGTCCTCGCAGGAGCGCCAGCAGCAGGTGCCGCTGCGGGAGCGCTCGCCCGCGGACGGCGTCCGCTGATCGCGAGCACGCGCGCGTGGTCACGGGCATGGCCTTTTGCGTCGCGCCAAGTGGGGGTGGGGCGCGGGGCGCCGGGGGGGGGGGGGCCTCGAGGACCGAGGACCGAGGAGGACGATCGAGGGTCGAGGAGGATCGTGGAGGAGGCGGAGGAGGAAACGGAGGAGGAGGAGGAGGATCGAGGATCGAGCGTGGGAGGCTGGGGATACGGAGGAACGAGGACCGAGGAGGATAAGGGGGCCTTGGGGCGAGGACGGCCTCGCTTAGAAGGCTTACTTCTTCGAAGGGCCTCGTACCACGGAAGCCGCAAGACCCATGCCCTCTGAGAGGCGGGGAGGCCCTCTGAGAAGGTTGCTCGCCGACGTCGTGTAATGCGGGGTCCATGGAGGTCTGGAGAGAGGCTGAAATATAAAAAAGTACAGATTTATTGAGTGATGAATAGAATGAAGGGTGGAGGGCATATGGTGTACCTCCGTTGGTGGTGGTAGGCTTATGGTGCCCACCTTGGGTTTTTGAAGGGCCTTTGGTGCCCCTCAGTGCCCACCCCGTCCCGTCCACAGGGACTTCGCACCCCCCCCAGTGGTGGGGAGGTGGTGGACGGGCCGTCCCCCCCTGGCGTCGCACGTGCTATGCCAGGGGTGGTGGAGACTTTTGTGCGGATCAGAATGGAATCCCTCCCTCCCGTCCCTTCCCCGGGGGTGCTGGGGCCCGTAATGGATCCCCTCCGGCGGAGATCCAACCCCCCGGGGACCGGCAGAAGAAGTTCAGCAACCGCAGGGGGGGATGCAAGTGACAATTATTGCCCGAGCAAGCGGAATTCGCCACTGGTAGAACACACAGAATCCCAATTAACTCTATTTGGGTGTGGAGGGAGCAGAACGAGTCAGCACCCTCACGGTGGCGCAAGGAGGCCACGACACCAGACCGCACAGAGATGCGACAGTTGCCGGACGCCGAAGTTCGTAGGGCCTGGAGGGGCAAGAATCGTCGCGGCGCTCTCGTCGCCAACGTCGTTGCCACCATTCGAAACGAGGGAGGAGCGGAGAGAGGGAGCGGAGAGAGGGAGAGGAGGGAGGGAAAGGAGGGAGGCCTGGTCATCCCGGGTTATTTTTTTCACAGACCCGGGGCCTGGCAAGGGCTGACAGAGGGGGCAAAAACTTTCCGTGCGATTTTGTTCACGACACGGGGAGGGGTTCTTGGTCAGAAGGCTATCCCATGCTCGGCCCCCCTCTCGGTGACACGTAAGATTGACCCTTCGCCGCAGTGACCTTTCTTTCGGGCACGGAGGGCCCAAACGCAAGCACGCAGGCCACTGCTGTCGTAGCGCATGCCACGATCGATCGGCAAGCTGGGGACCCGAACCCACTCCTGCCTAGGGCCACACCTGCGTGTAACTGAGCCTCGTCGCGAAGCCAAGCCTTGGCCTGGAGGAGGACGAGCCTGCCCGGCTGCCCCCGCGTCCACGTGGGTGGGCTCGACTGCCCAGGCGCCCAGAGTTTGGTGGCGGCAAGGGATACTTAAGCATTCCTGTTTTGAACCGTCTTCTGTTGTTTACCAGATGGTCCGGACCCAAAGAAGGATTATTCGTGTGTTTTTACCGGGAGAGGCAGCGGATGCTCATGGGTTTCGGGCCTCTGGGGTCCGTTGCCAGCACCTTGAGCCATCAGAAGGCGGCCTTGAGCTAACAAAAATGCCATGGCGAAGGGATGGAGAGATTTCAGGCCCGCGGGTGGGAAAAGTCACGACGACAGGGGCTTAGAGTTGCAGCCTGAAGGCGGATACGATGGCGAGGATTAGGCAAAATGTGAAGAACAAGTGAGACTTGTAGCTGACAGTTCGCAAGCGGAGACAAGTCAACGGCAAACATAATGAGAGGAACAAAGATCATGATGGAGAGGATGACCTAGGTGACCCCAGCATGCGCAAGTAATGTTGCAAGTCCTTGCAGCTGTTTTCCTAAGTCCTTGCAGCTTCTCAGAAGTTCCACGTCGCCTCCTCACAAGTCCCTGCAGCTATTCTTACTCTCAGCGAGGAGCTCTTGCTTGAACCACGGAGCCCCGTAGGCCTGCTGTTCAGGCGAGCGCCTCCTTTTGAAACGGGGCCGTCCCACGTGCGTGACATACTGTGTAAAGGCAGTGGAGCACAATACTGTGTCAGGCCCGAGTTCCATTCTGAAAAGGGTCTGCCCTGCATCCGCGTAGCAGCTGCAGTCTTCGAGCGTTTCAGATCGGAGTTCGCCAGAATGCCGCACTCAGAACACCATCTTCAAAATGAGTCGCCCGTTCTTCGTTCAGCTGTTGCGCAACTGTCAAAGTCATGCCATTGCGGGGTGGACATGTAATGTATCCACGAAGCCACAAAGCGGCCCGTCATTCATCCGCGTGAGTGGAGCAAGCTTGCCAGACGAATTCGCGCGGTGCCCGCCCTCCACCCGCGCAGCTGTTGCAAGTTTTGCGGCGAACGTGCGCAACGCCACGGCGAGAACAGCCTGAAAAAAGAAGCGTGCGCTCGTGCGCGCCGGTTTGGCGAGAGCCACATCTGAAAAGCAGACAGCACGAGCGTGCGGGACGACAGGGCGAATACAACTGTGTGAAAACAACTTGCCCTCCGTCCGGCCAGCCGTTGGGTATGCGAAACTACAGGGTCATTAATTCGCCCGGAGATCGCAGGCGAGTCGCTTGGCCCGCTCTGGTGGTGCGACGATCATGCGCTGTTCGGGGGAGTTTTTTGAAGGCCCCCTGGGGGCCGCCCATTGAACGTCTTGAGGCAATCATGTGCCGTCTTGCGGCCCTCTTGGGCTGTTTCGGAGCTTTCTTGGGCCGTCCTGAAACCATTTGAGCAATTTTCGCGCGTTTGGCAGCACTCTGGCGCAGATGACCCCCTCCCCTGGGACCCGAGCGCATCCGCCAGTACGCCCCCCCCATCCAACTCGGCTGGACAAGGCTGCCAGGGGAGGGGTTGGGGGAGGGGCAACAATCTCACGCGCCGAGAGCAACCCAAATAAACATGCGAAGTTCTCTCATTCATCTGCCCTTCCTGCTCCCTCCGCTCTACTCACCCCCATCTTTTTGATGACGAGCTCCTCGTTGTGAGTGATTGTTCTTCGTCGCACCACACGGCGTGTCGGTAGGACAAGGCAGTTGTTGTTTTGCATGGCGCCTCTTCACAAGGCATACCATTGATGCTTGAAGTGTTGACCAGCTGCGCGGATAGAGGGTGAATGGTTTTATTGTTTGTTCGCGCATTAGTGCCGCGCTTGATGCTTGTGCAAGCAGTGCTTGCACTTAGGTGGTCTGCTTTCTGTTCTAGGGAACTCGTCCTGAATGTAGTCTGGCGGCTATGTGGTCGCCGTCCCCGCCGCATCGCCGCCTCGTCGCCGCCTGTCCTGTGGTGCTGAATGTGCGGCTGCGTTGTCGCCGTCGCCGCCTCGTCGCCGCCTCGTCGCTGCCTCGCAGAATTTCACCACATAGATAACATCACATGGATGCTCCTTTACCCCACACCCCCGGGATTATCCCATCCCCTTTTCGTAATGCAGTTTTTTAAAAATATGATTCTGCCACATCGCCCATCCGAACTATGAATTGTCGCCATACCTTGGGCGCCGGTATCGCCCCCTCCGCCATCGTCTGCAAAATAAATACAATGCTCGCGCAGTCGTTGATCAGCAATCACCTCTTTTCAAGAATCCCGTGCAACAAACGGGACGAAGTGCATACGCGTGCGACATCGCGCGCGCATGCTGACATGCTTCAACAACCTTTGGTATCGTAAGGATGTCAAAACCGAGTGCCACAATAACATTCAAACACAGGGTTTCGCAACACGGATTTTCAAAAAACATGCGCGCGCGTTCTCGCGAAGTCTTGGGAAACTGTAGGTTGTTCAACAGGTTTCACGCGCGCGCATGTCGAAACCGTTCGAACGTCCTTGCGCGCGTGCGTTCGCAATAATCCGTTGCCAAAAAAACACTGCACGCGCGCGCTGTCGCGCGCGCATGCCGATATCTTGCACACACCGTACGGGTCGTTAGAATTTCGGAACCGAGTGTCCAACAACGCATATGAAACACATGGCTTCGCAACACAAATTTTCGGGGGAAAGAAATGCGCGCGCGCTCTTGCGACTTCTCATGAAACCATTTGTGTTCCAACATGTTCATGGCATTCTCCGAGACGGGCCGCTGGCGGCACATGTCGAAATCAGTCGCACGCCCTTGCGCGCGCGCTGGGGGGGCACGATCCGTGTCAAATACCACCATGCGGGCCACTCTCGCGCGTCGGCCGCCCGCGCATGTCGAACTCTTTCCAAAACCTGCATCACCGACGCGAAGACGCCGTCATCGTCGCTGGCGCGATCAGCATCAGAGCCGTCAGTGGCCGCGCCGTGGTCGCTGTCAGCATCGTCACCAGCAGCGCTACTAGCATCACCGTGTCTACCATTGTCGACGTTGCCATGATACCGCTATCGCCCAAGGCGCCGACTCGCCCTGAAGTGCCCGTTGGCATGCGCCCAGCGGTCTGCGCCACCGCGGCGGCGTCAGTCGCGCCAAAGTAGTTGGCCGATGCGCGCGCGGGCATGCGCGGGAAAGCGCGGCCTCAGAGATGCACCAGCCATCGCCAAACATTCGTCGCAATCGCCGCCGCATGGGGTTTGCAAACCAAGGTGCGGGTGGGTGGGTGGGATGTTTGCGCGAGCAGCGGAGCCAACAGCTGCAAGTGTAGCGTTGGTGGATTGCAACACGCAGAACGCGCCATACATATATTTTTATATATGTGTATATATATGTGTATATATATAAAAATATTGCACCACGCGAATTGCACCACATGGTTTCACAACATACGTCGAACAACAAGTGTTCCACAACGTAGCTTACACTGCAAATGTTGCACAGCTTAGATCGCACGACATAGGATGCACAACCCAGGTTGCACAACATGGGCCGCCCGCGTAGACTGCACCAAATATACTGCGCCGCACAAATTGCACCACCTAGGCCGAGCCACGTAAACAGAATTCGCCGACAAAGGTTGCAGAATTAGTAACGCTAGAAACACAGTGTTTGGGGTC